TCCTTTTTTTCCCTTTGGAATCCATGGTTTGAGACACACCTGCAGCTTTGTTTGCCTGGCACCATGCCGTGCTGGTTCCAAGTTATGACCACTGATCTCTCACTGCATGAAAAGTGGGATTTTCGTCAATATACGGCACTGTAGATTGTTGTGGAACTTCAGGTTAGCGGCAGTTTACGGCAATTTGCAGGCTTCGCCGAAAACTCTCGTAAATTGTCAGAAATTGACGTGGATTTTCTTAGGCAGTGTTCCCCCCATGCCTCCCCCCCATGGAATTCTAGGGGAGGCTTTAACATGTAAATGAACATGCTGTGAGCTATACAAATGCAAACCAGGGTTGCAGGGGGGGTTTTACCCCAAGTGACATCTTTCTGGGTAAGAAAATCTCTGATACAAAGAGATCAGGCTCAGTATAGCCTCTTACATTTTAGATTGAATTGATTTATTTAATTAAAGTATAGAGACCAAAACAGATCTTTAGCTGACAGAGCAATACATTTAGAGCAGTAATTATTATTTTTTTAAATTTGCATTTAAGATAAAAAATAAAATGTTGTCTGTCAATATGCTCAATTCACAATTACTTAAGCGGAAAAGTTTCAAGAAATGATTCTGAGATGATTCACTTTATAACATGGCGCATTATCCTGTTGGAAGTAGCCATCAGAAGATTGGTACACTGTGGTCATAAGGACATAGGTCAGCATGCTAAATTGGTATTAAGTGGCCCAAAGTGTGGCAATAAATATCCCCCAAATAGATGGTGGAAATAGATCAGGCTCAGTATAGCCTAATTATAGACTCTTCCATTTTAGCTTGAATTGATTTATTTAATTAAAGTACGCTAGATTACTGTGTATGCAAATGTTATGTAAAAAAAATACACAAAATAATTTACTTCAAAAATTAGTTTTAATCAGAATCAGTTGGCTGTAAGGGTTAATTTTTTTTTTTTTAGATTTCCACTTTTTTTTTTTTTTTTTGTTATTGAATATATAAGAAAACAATAACAATCTCAAATAACAAGTCAATAACAAATATTTCAATACAAGAAGAAATATCACAACTCCTGCTTTTGAAAAATAAAATTAAATGCACAGGCTGGAACAAAGTATAAAATAAAATAAAATAAATAAAAATAAATAAAATAATAATAGTAGTTAAAGTAAATTAATCAGTGGGGACTACCAACTGAAATTCTTCAATTAACTCAAACAATTTAATTGCATTTAAATTCTGCATCTTTCTCAGACATCTTTTGAAAAGGGAAAGTTCATTTTTGAGAGCAGAGATTGAGAGGGAGCATTTTGCATAGCGACATTTATGGATATAATACTTTGTTACAATTATTAGAATATTGATTAAAAATTCCAAAAATTTTTTCTTTAATGGATAAACCGAATTGAATGTTTTGCCAGGAAATAAAATCTAAATTTATTGTTTTAGAAGACAGAAAGGTTCGAAGTTGATCCCATAAGTTTAATACTTCTTTACATTCATAAAAAAGATTTTTAGTTGTTTCCAATTGAGTTGTACAAAAGCCAAAATTCTCAACATTAAACTTAAATCTCTCTCTTAAAAACTCATTTGAAGGATATATGTTATTTATTATTTTAAATTGTAATTCTTTATATTTAGGAGGAATTGGGAATTTCAAATAATTTGTCCTAATTTTGACTATCATAGATTTCTTAAAATTTTGTAAGAGAGCTGTGCTTTTTGTTCTTCCTGGGTACATATTATTTATAGAATATTGATTCAAAAACTTGTTGTTGCATTTATTATCTCTAATGTCCACCTGCTCAAATTCAATCTTATGGAGACAAACAATTGCAATTGCAAACAATTTATAGGTGCATTACCGCCACCTTCCAGAATGGAGCGACGCGAGCTCTTCTCGCGAGTCCTTCGGTATAACAATGACGTCGTATGTGATTGGAGGAGCCTGATGAGCCTTCGGCCCCATTGTCCAATCACGTGTGAGCTTTTGTGCACTACGACTACTCGCGAGACCAGCATATTAGCAGACATGTTTGTGTTACTATACTCAGAAGAACTTCATCTCCAGTTACCGTGTTTGTATTTTGTTGTTACGTGAACAATGGCTGCACGACGTCCCGCGTTCAACTCGCCTCCAACTGCTCTTAGTCCACAACTTTCGGCCAGCCCGCAGACTGACGAGAAGAAACTGCTGATTGCTATCAGCGGACTGTCTCGTCAGCTTACTCAGCATACTGCCGACATGAATGAGCGCCTCACTCAGCTGGAGAATTCGATGCACTCCAGGTTGCAGTGCATAGTCCGTCGTGGGTGAGCGGTTAGACTTGGATCCCAAAGGTTACCGGTTCGACTCCCGACCCGCCAGGTTGGTGGGGGGAGTAATTTACCAGCGCGCTCCCCCATCCTCCTCCATGACTGAGGTACCCTGAGCATGGTACCGTCCCGCCACACTGCGCCATTGAGGCCTGCGCCTTGCACGGGTGAGGCATAAATGCAATTTCATGGTGTGCAGTGTTCACTTGTGTGTGCTGTGTCACAATGACAATGGGAGTTGGAGTTTCCCAAAGGGGCTTTCACTTTCATAGATTATAAGATGGCGGCTCTGCAGTCGAGCAACTTTGCGGGATGTACGAACTCGTGGAAGAGAAGACGGGTGCACAGCGCCACGCTAGCGGTAAATATATGTTCGATTACTGGTAGCTATGCTAAAGACAACCTAGCCTAGTTAGGTAAGCTAAAAGCAGCCTAGCCTAAAGCTTTATTAAAGTGTATTTTTTGTGATTCACAGGAAGCAGTACGCCGTCTTCACAACTCGGAGACTAATTGCAGGCGCTATGAACCGGAGCAGGGGTAAGATTTAAAGAATATGCTTTCATTCTGCGGTAAAAGGACATGGATACGGATAAATACCGACCATAGCTGTACTTTTTTTTTTTTTCACAGACTACTGTCGCCTCACATTGTGAGCAAATAGGAGGTCACCGCCTCATTGTGAGCCTCACAATGAGGCGGTGACCTCCTATTTGCTCGGAGCCATCTCGGCAAGTCCAGATTTGCACGATGTTGATAAAGACGACATTGTGTGTAAGTGACTTGCGTTTGATTTTTTTTTTTTTTTTCATTCATACCACTCATTTAATTGTTTTCCAGCGGCCTGTAAGACGTATTATGAGACGGTACGCAGGAGCTTCAGATACACGCAGCTAGCCAACACGCTGCGTGCGGAGGCTGCCAGGCAATCTGCTCGGAGTCGGGCCAGAAGAAAGAGGGTAAGACTTTATTTGGTGACTATTTTTCAGGTGCATTGATAGATGTGTTGTGTCCATATGCAGTGCGCTGATTCATTGTTTTTTTTTCAGCTGCTGAAGGCGAGGCAGAGTGTGCTGGCAGATGAGGAAGTGGAACTCTGGAAGTCCGCCACCGTCGACCTCATGTCCGACGAAGAAGATGGCGTCGTCGGCGGTGTCTCTGGATGGATTGTACGGTCGCCGCCATTTCGTAGGCCGGATCTCACTGAACTCTGTGTTAAGCTGCAGTCCCGGTTAGAAGCGATGCCGAAGTACAGGGCCACGCACAATAGGCGTCTGCACATCGGACCTGCCTCGGAGGGAATGCTGCCTGTTACCTCCAACCCAGAGGAAGAAAACGGACCGTTCACGGAGTTGTAATTTTTAGATACGCATGTGTTTGGATACGCGTTGTATATAGTTGTGTGTGTTTTAATAAAGCTCTTTCTTTGCATAAACAGCTTCCTGGCAAATCTTCATTTCCTGTATAAATTCATTCATGTCCTTGATGGTAGCATAATAATTGTGTAGTAGTGTAGGATAACATAAATACACAGCATATGAATGAATAAATATATGAATGAATAAATATATGAATGAATAAATATATATATGAATGAATAAATATATATATATATATGAATAAATATATATATGTAAATTTATATGTAAATATATATATATGCCAACCAATCACGAGCTACTTTACTTGTTTAAAAAGAAGTGGTTCCGTCCAATACTCAGTAAGAAAATTAAAGCCTGGCGTGGCCACGTGTGGTTTTGCTGCCAATCACGAGCGATTTTACTTGTTTGAGAATAGTGGTTTCAGCCAATACTGAGAAGGTTATTCAAGCCAGACCTGGCCAGCCGCGCGGGTTTGCTGCATTCATATGGTAATTAGGGCCATGAGTACAGCTGATCGCTCTCCACATACGTCATGGTACGTTTCCGACAATTTGTGGCACGACAAACGCGGACAAGCACGGGTTGCAAATTGTCGGAAACTGACGAAAATCAGGCAGATCTGCGGGAGTTTACGGGGGTTTACGGGGACAAAAATCTCACTTTTCATGCAGTGTCTATGGCTATCATGCAAATTATTGTTTAAATGTATTTATTATACAAATTTTTACAGCATTGGAAAACAACAAATTTTTTGTTTGACTTCCTGCACACCTTATAAAAAAAAAAAAAAAAATTTCATACATTTTTGAAAAAGCTCCAGTGAGCCACAAGGGGGGTGCTAAAGAGCTGCATGCAGCTCCAGAGCCGCAGGTTGCCGACCCCCGCCATAAGTTAAAAATATGCATCCAAAGACACATAAACAACACATATCTCAAGGCGCATCACAGTCAATTCAATAAAATCATACAGACATCGGATAAAAAAAGTTTATATTTTGAGAAATCCAGCAGATTGCATCTAGGCTTATACATGCGGAAGTTATTTTTCATGGATGAGTATGAAGTGAAAGTTGGTAGTTTGCAATGTATCAATGAATTTGCAGCAAATCGTCTTACTAAGCATGCATGCAGTTTTGGTGTAAAGAAAAACTCTTCAAAGGCAACACACCTCAAGCAGAACTAGGCTCAACTTCACAAGAACAAACTACATTTGTGCTTGCTCTCACAGTGAATTACTTCATTGTATTCTCTCCGGACTGTCTTGGGGGGTCTCACTGCTTGTTCTCAACATGTGTGGGAAGAACTTAAGCTATGTGCTTGAGAGAGGGGTGGACTTCAGCAACTGAGCTTCTGCATAGCATACACACATAAAAAAAAACAGAAGCGCTCATAGATGTCTCAACCATAGAGAAAGTGGTTATTTTTACACCCACACCTTCCTTGAAGGGTGATAAATGCCCTTGATTTAAGCTTGCTACATACTCCAAGAACTGAGAAATGCATTCTTCTTCTTAATTTTGCAAGAACAGGTGAAACGTTTTCTTTCACCTCCCAGTAGTAATATTTGGGAGCTCAGCTTCTGTAGTCATAGATAATCCCATCCACTGTTGCTTGCCTCATCATTTAACTCTTTGTCACCTCAGTCAGAGTCATAACACTTTCAAGCTTTATGCTGTCAAATTTTAATAAACAAAATTGAGATACAGAAAAGAAAAAAAAGGAGCAGACTGACAATTTCAGCATAAATCCTGTGATATTAATTTAATAAAGTTGGAAGCTTATTTAAATTGAAAAAATACATAAATATTTTTGGATTAAGCTTTTTTTTGTGTAAACTAAGCCATAATGTATTTGAATCATATGAACCCAATCTACTACTACTTCCTTCTGGTGTACAGAGGTTTGTTGAGAACTCAGAACTGCACTACTTTTTTTTTTTGTTTAAGGTTTTTTTTTTTAGTTTTTTACGTCACTAGTGGCTCGTTTTTCTGAAAGTAGGCTGACAGGAAAGGGGGTATGAGAGAAGGGGAGAGACATGCAGCAAAGGACCAAAGGTCAGATTTGAACCTGGGTCGTGTGCACGAACCACTGCGCCACCTGCATGAGAACTGCACTACTTTAACATACATTTTGAAAAGTAATAGTAAAAAGCAGGCATCTAAGAAATTACTCAAGAGTCAAAAGGTATTTGGTAAAAAGGAGACTCAAGTAGGTTATCCTAATAATTGATTAAATATTGCACTTTTTTTTTAAAGCAATGCTTAAATTATCTAATTTATCTAGAGTAGAATAAAGTTACCTTCAGTAACAATATACAGAGTACTGTTTACTGTACGATCGCCCCTGCTTAAAGTGGAAAAAGGTCCCAGGACTAACCCCAAAACGGCATACAAATTAGAGATAGAAACATGGATTTTTTTTTCTCTTTTATACAGTCTTTTATTCAGTCTATCTAGCAATAGTTTTATTGTACATAATAAAAAAAAGTCCATTCCTATTATATTGATTGTAATCATGATATAATAGCAGCATGTTTATAATAAAAGCATGTAATAAATATTACTAGATACACTATGTCGCCTTGACTCTCAAATGAATTTATATGACATCCCATTCCATATTGAACCTTAGGGTTCAATATGATATTGGTCCAAACTCTTCTGGGAAGTCTGTCTATAAGTTTTCACACACTGTCAAATGCAGTCGACAAGTATCATTGTCCTTGCAACTGCCAAAACCGTGACCTGTCATAACCCAGATGGGTGCTTTGAAGAGTTCAAATTAAACTACAGACATCCACTGGGAAGCCTCCTGTTAGAATTTTTACCAAAATGGAGGGCTATTTAGTACAATTTCATAAGCTGATTGGGTAAATCAAGTTTCACGTGGTATTCACTTGATCTCTGACACATCATAACCAGCAGGTTAACATGGTTAAAACAACAAAAATAAACTGAATACATATTTTAAAAAAAGAAGCAGGGACATCTTAGATATTTCTTTAACTTCTCTTAAAAAAAATTATATGGGGATAATGATAATACATAAATGACAATATCCTAACCAAACAACCCCCTTCATGCCCCCATTTGTCAGCCTCACAGTTCCGGCACAAGTGAAAGTAACCCCCAACTGTGTGCTTGATGTGCCTAGGACTTGCACATCTACAGTAGCACTGCAGGTACACAATCTTGAATTTTGAGTGGCTTAACAGCTATAAAAGAAAACCATTTGCTATCTAGGTACAGAACACAGATTTTAGCACATGTTAATCATGTATATTCAAGTAGATTAAAGAATATTAACATTTATAAAATGTCAGGACAGTAGTAATAAAAGAAAGCAGATGAAAAAATGTGTGCAATTTTTTACAATAAATTTAGAAGATGATCCTGAAGTGGAGGGCTCCAACTGAGCATATGCAGTATACGTGTAATTAATTTGCTCTGGGTTCTACACAAATCCAGAGTCAGTTTTGTTGACATCTATCATCTATCTTAACATGTTGAAATAAAACTTGTGAATAAACACTTTCTTCAGTCTTTAGTGCTCTTCTATTCTTTGCTTTTTGTTTGTTCATTCCAGAGAAATGCAAGGCAGCATAAATCAGATCCAGTTTATTTTCTCCCTGTGGAAAATGTTTTCAAGACAACATTTTAATGATGTTTTTGTTAATACAGTTAAACAGTTGCAATAATTATTTAGTGTTATGACTTGCCTTATCCATTGGTTGGCTCGAATCTCTGTGATTTGAAGAGGAATGTTCTGTGTAAACAAAGCAAACATCAGATGATAATAAAACTGAGCTTAGTAAGGTTTTCGATCCGAACATTTGGCAATATCTTTTATTTCGTTTTTAACATGGTATTTGATATGTTACACTGTTTAAAAAATTTATAATGTGTTAACTTTGGAGGGTTAAGTATAATAAATCAGCCCTACCTTTAAATCGGGCACATGCTGATCTTTGAGATCGACAGCAAATTAAAATGATATTCATGGTTCCAGAAATGGCTAAAGAGATTAAGGTGATCAAGAGAACAATCCTCTCAGAACTTAATCTTTTATCTGGAAAACAAAGACAATGTGTCACATCGCAAAAAAAGCATGATTCTTCTTTTATAATATAAATGACATGATAAGCACAATACCTTGATTGCTTGTTACCCTCTTTGGTCCATTGCTAAGTAATATCTCTCCACATGTAGCCACAGCACAGTAAAAGGTGTCCGATTCAGAGGAGGTGACGCTCTTAGAGAAGTTGTAACTACATTTTTTCTGATTGTTTGATGTCTTTTTGCAATTTTTATAAATTTTTTCCTCAGTGTAGATGATGTCTGGATTAGATGTGTCTGATCTAGCTCTTATCCAGAATACGCTAGGTTCATCGGAACAGGTTGTGTTCTCGGATTCAGACAGGACTAAACATTGCAGTGTCTTTGGACTTGTTGGACGAGTGGGATCAGAAACTGTTTGCTCCTGAACAATAGTGTAGCTTGATGTCCTCTGAGAGTTTCCTATGAAGAAATTAAAGGAAAAAAAAAAAAAACAAGATTTCCTAAAAATGTTTAATCAAAATCAATATGTCAGTCTGTTAAATTTGATCTAAGGAATGTTTTTAACACACATGTGGGGTGGAGTCTTGGGCTAAACCCAATCATTTTCATAACCAAGTAAATTCTTCAATTAAAGATGACTTCAAAGTCTTAACCCCTAGAGCCCTACGGACCCACCGGTGGGTCCAGCTGCTACGTGACCTCGTAATTTTAACAACCCCAGTATTGATGTAAAAAACACATTTGGCACAGTTTGGTGACATTTTTGGATAAATGTGCCAAAATGGCCTCTCCGCCTAAGAAATTTCTCATTAATACCATTCTAAAATAAATATGATTCATCTGATTGAGTCCAAATTTGGTATATTTTTACACAACATTTAGATTTAAAAGTCTGTACTACTTGTTTGTGCTATAAATAATATTTTGGTAGTGTTTTGCAATGTTTATTTCAAAGAAAATTTTGGCGAGGTTCAAAGGTTCAAAGGCAGAAATTTATTTATACCCCCTTAGGGTGTAAGAGGTTAAAAGACACTGAAATAAAAATTTCTCTTATATCTATTATCAATGGCCTATCAATTATTTTAAAAGCCTATTAATAATGTATCAAATAGATCAACTTTATTGTCATTAGAGAATTTAAACAATTCTTGTAATTGCTTGCAATCGTTTTCTATATTAACTCCTATTTCTACAATTTAACATCAGGGATGAATTCTTAATATTTCAGGTTGGAAGGCCATCTTTCTCATCCATGGATCATTAGCTCCCTCCACATATTCTCTACTTGATTAAAGTTAGGAATTTGTATGTGTCAATCCAACATCACTTCAATAGATTATATATGTTCATTACAATAAAGTATTACCTTAAACTTAAATCTATGAGGGACATGATAAGCACTGGTGAAAATGTTTCATGTAAACAATAAGAAAAAACAAAGCAAATCCACACTTTTATAATTACAGCAAGATTACCTAATTCTGCAAATATCCTAATAATATTGTGCTAAAGTAAAATGCCAAAGTAGGTTATCACAAAAGTCACAATGGCAAGCAACAAATAAAGGAGTTTCTGTTTGAGTAAGAAAACAAACTGTAATAAAAATTTTGATAAATCTAAGGACCTGTTTTACTATTTTTTGTACTTAATTGTAAAGGAAAAAAGGGGAGAAAGTGATCCCGATTAACTGAAGATGTTTTAATACCAAAACACTGATCAGTTATTAAAAAAGTTTTAGTTTGAAAAATAACAAAAAACAGACATTTACCTTTTAATGATAAATAAATCCCAGTCCAAATAGATTGAGTCCAGCCCATATGAGCACAGTGATACATTCCCTCATCTTGTTCAATGACTGACAAAATACACAAGCTGCTTTGTGTGCCATTATTTGTTATTGTAAATCTTGTAGATGAAAATCCTGGTCCATAAGCAGTGTTTGTACTTTTACGCAACATTGCAATTAATTTCAGAGTATTTCCTGCACTTTGCTTGTACCAGTGAACCCATGTTACGACCTGAAACTGCTCAGTCAAAACACATGATAAAGTGACAGGTTCCCCAAGGTGGACTGTGGTGATAGGAACCAAAGTATCTGCAGTACCTAAAAAACAACATAATAAGAAAAAATAAAGTATTTCAAAGTCAGACATAAAACAATTTAGTGAAGGGCAATTCTATGTTTTTGAATCTACTTACATCTTTGATGAAGAAGTAGAAGCATAAGCCATAGCAGATTCATGTTGACACTGTCTCCATCAGGGCACTTAAAGGGATAGTTCGGTATTTTTGACATGAATCTGTATGGCATCCCGATCACCAGCGGCATGCAATCACACTGACTTACCCCTGGCAGCGTCCTGTGAGCAGAGTTATCGTCCAGTTTTGGTCAAGCCGAAAGTAGTCCTGCAGGTTTTTAGGTACAGCGAAATAAAACGTTTCTCTTCCCAAAACATTATGTGTCCAAAAGAGCGATATTTTCGCATCCCAAAAACATTGTAGTGGAAAAAGTCACACGTCGTTATCAATTGGTCCTATTTTCTCTCTGTTCGTATCAGTGCGCGCCGTCATTCAGACAGCGAGCCCAACAACAGCCATGTCTCCTTCCGCGGCGGAGGGAGACATGTTTGAAATTCAGTCGGCCGTAGCAAGGTGGTCTTGGGCAAGCATGCGCAAGGATGATGATTCTCCTTCCTCTTCTTCTGCCTCTCAGACGAAAACACAGAAGCATGTCGAGGGTGCAAGTGAAATGGAGTTCCTTTTGTAAATGGACAGGCTGTGGTAGCCACGTTTCCATAGCTATGTCTTTGTCCCAATATGTCATCACCTTTTCTTTTCAGGGCTTTCAGCACACAAAATTGCACAATTTGCCAAGGCAGCACGTTTCCCTCTAGTGAGCTTTGTGTTCCTCCTCTACTCGTTTGGCTTCCTGATGGACGAGTCCGAATGGCAGCCTCTCATTGCCGAGTTGAGTCCGACCTGGTTTTTAGACGTACAGTGTGAGCAGGTAGATAGCATCAGGGCCATACGGTGTGAGAACATACATCATGAGCTGTGAACTCACTGTACGACGAAACTGCAGGGTTTCATCGTACAGTGTGAGCTGTGGCTGCATGCAAAGATTGAAAAAATCACACAGTGTATGATCAGCTTAAGGGGTAAAATATTAACTGTTAGCATTGCGTATGATTGCATACGGGCTCACTCAAAGCAGCAGTATTCACTTGATCTCTGACACATTATAACCAGCAGATTAATGATAATATAAGATAAAGAAGTTTCAGTACAAAAAAGAAGTCAAAATTCAATCAAACTTTAGATCTGTTTCTGTGGTGCATTGTTCCTTACTGATTGAAGTCACCTTTGGTGGGTAAGCAGAAAACTGACTTAAGAGTAACAATACTTTCTGATATTCTAACTCAAATACTTTAGAGCAAGGCTACTCGTAAAAGTGCTTAAAAAAAGAAAATAAATACTTAACTAAATGTGACTACTACCCACTTCTGCTGGTTTTGGATATGCATTTACAGGTGTTTCAGAATTAGCAAATTTGCTTATTTTAAATTATTTTAACTAGTGTTGAGGTACACTGGATACTTTTTTGTTTTTGTGTAATATCTTAGCCTGATAAACCAGACTAAATGAGATTAAATGTGTAATTTAGTCTGGCCCAGATGAAGATTGTTGATGAGAACAACCTGTTGTCTTTCAAACAATGTCTGTGCCTATTGGCCAACGCTCTGACCAATGAGCGCAACTCACTGTGACGTAGTAAGCGTGACTGAAAGCTGGTGGGGGAGTGTAAACAAACAGCCTGTCGATAAAACTGAGAATAAATCCTGCTTATAAATGTGTAGAGCCTCTTTTTGCTCACGTTTTAACGAAAACCCCAAGTCTAATCTAAAACTGATTCCAAAGCTGAGCCAAACAAGAACCTTTTAATAGTTGTTGCCATCTTCCTTGTTGTGCTTTCTCCAGCATCGCGCAGATTTGTCGTCACGCCCTCAACACCCGCCCGCTTTGCATCCAGAAATTCAAAACACATCTCTGCGTTGTGATTGACCCGGCAGTTCTAGGGCATGGGGCATTGATCGAGGCAATACCACTCTCAGGACAAAATTAATTTGGCTGCTGGGGCTAGTTTATTAGGCTAGTAATATGTAATATATAGGTTAACATTTATAACCATTGTTTATGAAACTGTAAAGTTACAAACATTATGGAAAAATGTTATATTAAAATAAAACAAACAGCAGCCATTTAAAAAATGTCAATTCATAGCTAGTGCAATATGCAGACAAAAAGCACCCCCATACTTTTGAAAAATTTGCTACACCACTGGGAGCACTGATAATTGAGGAGCTAATGGCAGACTACCAATTTTTGTTGAGAAAAACACCTATGAGGAGAGAGCAGGCCAGTGCCAGCCCCTCCACCCACTCAGTGTTTTTAATTTATGTCATTGCATGTTAATTGCAGATGCAATTTACTTCCAATTCCATTGCATGCAATTTTTTGCCAGTGTCTCAGTAAAATTCTATTCTTATAGAATGAAAATAACCATCCAGCCAACCATCCACACCTAGATTTTCACTAAATGGCTACAGTTGTTTTACTGAGAAGCAAGTGTCCATTTAATTAGGCTGCATCATTACCCTGCAATTATTTATTGCATTTCGATTTGTAAGAAGAAAGAAGAGTCAGTGATCAAGCTACTATTGAAATAACATCTGGCGGAAAAAGCTTCTCTAACAGTAACACTTGCATTCATTTGATTCCACAGCATAAAATGTAGAATGTTCCTGTTTAGGTCTGTCTGACTTTCTGTCCGACAATAAAATTAGAATTTATATGTTTATGCATGTTATGAAATAGATGGAGAGTGCAATAAAGGGATGACCAACATGATGTGGAGATGTACAGTACAGGGGTGTATTGAAAGGAGATTTAGCACACTGACATGCCATGTTAGTTGATTGCAAAGTCATTTAAGCATTTTAATGTTTGACCTTGTCTCCATCAGCAGTTTTCATTGACTAGTTGGTATTTAATTGACAAATTATTAACCTTTAAATGTATTTATTTATTGTTTTATTTAATTTTTGGGTTCTTTAATACTGCTGCTCAGCTCTCTGTCAGCAGAACCTTAGTATGCAAACCTTTAAAGGTTCTTCACCTCCAATGAAGATGAAGGTAGAAAGATCTTTTTGCCGATCCTCTCCTGTAAAATGGTCAAACTGTGTTCATTTTCTACTCTAAGTCATTAGACTAAGTTTCTTTACTGTCTACCAGTATTGACTTAGTTTTTTTTTGGGACGGTTTTCAAAAAAGCCTTTATTAAACACAAAATACAGCGTGCAGCTGGATGTCTGCGGGGCAGATAACCGAATTCTCTGCAGGGATAGAAAACTCAGTGACTAAGAATATTTGATAACAACTGGGAGCAAAGTCACTGAGCTTGTTCTGAGTACAGTCCAATCCATGAGGAAGGAGAAGAATCCAAAACTTAGAATGTCCACCGCTTTCAGCCTGTGCCGCTTCTGGAGTTCAGAGTGATTAGGCGAGTTGATGCCCCTGCCAACGCCAAGGAGGCAAAAGTGTCCACGAGGGAATATCCATACCCAAAGCCAAATCAGAACCAGGTTTACAGACAAGAAGATCAGAGTGCCGAGGAGGTACTAGAGGAGAATCCAAGCTGAGGTCAGTAGCACAGTCCAAGTTCAGTTAACCAGCAGAATCCAGCAATCAGTTTTGTTTTAAACTGATTCCTGGGCAAGGCTAAACGGGTATCCAAGGGCAGAAGCCAGTCAGAATCAGAATTACAAAACAAATACAAGATCCCTAGAGTTACTCTCACCAAACAGCTCGGATAATCTGGCGCTGATGGTAGGCAAACAAGCAGCATAAATGGAAAACCATAATGAGTGTAATGAGCCGCCGGGTCAATTAGACAGGTGACAGGGTGTGAAAAGGCAGCCCTCCCTTTTCACAAATGCCACAGAACAGCACGCTACAATGTAGCTGGCTAACGTCACACACACACCTCCATACACAAGCGCGCACACGCGAATCTGAGACTTTTACTCGCGGAGCCGGCAACCGCATGTGAGAGCTCTTTGTCACGCCAACACTCCAAAAACTTTCAGTACTTACCTGAGTGACCAGCCATCGCAGCGTTCGGTGAGGTACCCGCCGATATCGCTCCATAATCCCATACCGCTCCAGTTTCCACACATTGCGCACACAAACACAAACGCACACACACTTCCTGGTCCGACAACTTCTCCTCCCCTGGGAAACACGAACTGTGGGTAGGGGAATAATTTATGTCTCATTCAGCCAATCAGAGGCTTTGATTACCTGACGGGGTGAAACTGAGTGTTTGATGCATTTAAAATGCTATTTTTAGGTGTAATGTTGATGTAATGAGAAATGTGTTTTATTGAATGTATGCATACAGTAATGTGGTTAATGTAGATTGCTTAGGCATGTAATTTAACAGTGAAAAGGAAGTGGTGCATTGTTTCAGCTGTACCTTTTTTCTTGCATAGTGGTCTCATCCAATCAGTCAGTGATTTAGTCCTGTAGGCATGCAATTTGCCAATTATGTCTGTTTGTATAAAAACCCTACTTTTTCCTCAGTTTGTTGGTTGGAGGCTAGGAGAAAGGTTGGTGCCTGAGACTGTCGTGTTCAAAAGAGTGAAACCTGAGCCAGAGGGTCCACCAATTTCACATTTGGTGTCAGAAGTGGGATCGTGGAGTTTGTCCTCTGAAGAAGGTTAAGGGTGCTACTTGCAGTATGGTTTCTGTGCCTAGACCTATGACTGATGCTGTGTATGCTGACAGTGTGCCAGTAATGGGTGTGATTGTGAATGATAAACCGGCAAGGGCTCTCCTGGACACAGGCAGCACCCACACTTTGGTGCAACCTCACCTGGTTCAGCAGCCTGAAGCTTTGACTGGGGAGAAACTGCGAGTAGTGTTTGTGAATGGTGATGTCCATGAATACCCCATAGCACTTGTGTCTGTTAAAGTGCAAGATCAGATGTTCAGGTTAGAAGCCGGGGTTGTTAAGGGCTTGAATTATCCTGTGGTCTTAGGTCAGGATGTGGTGATTCTGCCAGACCTGGTGCAGGCTTCTCTCCCAATGAGTTGCGTTGCAACCAGGGCACAGGCTAAAAAGGTGCAGGAGTTGTTACGTGAAATGCCATACAGTGGAGAAGATTTTGGTTCCCCTGTAAAAATGAGAGACAGGAAGACACGCCGACAGCGTAGGCATGACAAACTAGTTGGCACAGTCAAAGTCATGTCTGGTGAAGAGCTAGCGGCAGTTCCTGATGCAGGGAAGGAGATGTGGCAAGTTCCTGATGATCTGAAAGAATTGCAAAACCAAGATGTTTCACTGAAGGAGCTGTTTGACCAAGTTGTTGAAGTGGATGGTGTGGGCACAGGCCAGAAAAAGACATTGCTGGGTGAATTTTACTTTGTGCGTGATGGCTTGCTGTATCATCAGCCTGAAGGTGGCAGTGCAGAGCAGCTGGTAATACCGACCTGTCTACGACAGAAGATTTTGTGTTTGGGTCATGACATTCCTTGGTCGGCACATTTGGGAAGTGTGAAAACTTTGCAGAGGATTTCAGACAGATTCTTCTGGCCAGGGTTGTATACTGATGTGCAAAAACACTGCAAAACATGCCCCACATGCCAGCTTTACAGCAAACACAAAGTCAGGCCATATCCACTTCAGCCGTCGCCAGTGATAGATGTCCCATTCACCCGAATAGGTATGGACATTGTAGGACCTTTAGAGCGCACACAATCAGGCCACCAGTACATTTTGGTAATCTGTGATTACGCCACACGTTATCCTGAAGTGTTCCCCTTACGCAAGGTTACGGCTAGAGCCATTGCCCCTGCACTATTACAGTTATTCTCAAGGGTAGGAATTCCCCGGGAAATACTGACTGATCAGGGAACAGCTTTCCTTTCAAACACCTTAAAGCAGGTTTATGGGTTGTTGGGTATTAGTGCGATCAGGACCACTCCCTACCATCCCCAGACAGATGGACTTGTTGAGAGGTACAATCAGACACTGAAAGGCATGCTGAGGAAATTTGTGTCTGCCAACGGCAAAGATTGGGACCGCTGGCTGCCGTACCTGATGTTTGCCTACCGTGAGGTACCTCAAGCATCCACGGGGTTCTCGCCGTTCGAACTCCTGTACGGCAGACATGTGCGCGGACCCCTTGACCTGCTGAAGGATGCCTGGGAGTCACCCAAGGCCACCACCTCCAACGTGATCTCCTACGTCATTGCCATGAGGGACAGGATGGAGGAGATGGCCAGCCTCGTTCGAGACAACCTCCAGAGTGCCCAGGTGACCCAGACCACCTGGTACGACCGGAGTGCACGACAGAGAACCTTCCAGCCTGGCCAGAAAGTCCTCCTTCTCCTGCCCACTGAAGAGAATAAGTTGCTGTCGAGGTGGCAGGGTCCTTACAGCATCAGCAGACAGTTGGGGCCTACCACCTATGAGCTGGAGATGCCAGAGAGGAGGAAGAAGCGGCAAGCGTTCCACGTCAACCTCCTGAAAGAGTGGAATGAAAGGGAGGCACCACCTAGTCCACAGCTGTTGGTGCAGGCCGTGAAGGAAGAGGAGGACACCCCTGAGCAATTCTTCCCGACCGAACAGCCAGTTGGGACATTGGACTTGTCCCATCTAACCCGTCAGCAGCAAGAGATACAGGCCATTGTTCCTGAAGGCCTGCTCAGTGACCAGCCGGGGTACACACCAGTGGCAGAGCACCCCATCCGTCTGAAAGACTCTACACCCGCCAGACAACGGATGTACAGAGTTCCAGAGCGCCTGTTACCTGCTCTCCGGGAGGAGCTTCAGGTCATGCAGAGACTGGGGGTGATTGAGCGTTCGGAGAGTGCCTGGAGCAGCCCAGTGGTCCTTGTGCCGAAGAAGGACGGCACAATGCGCTTCTGCATTGACTTCCGCCAGGTGAACGCTCAGTCACACTTCGACGCCTACCCCATGCCCCGACTTGAAGACCTCATAGAGCGTCTGGGAGGCGCCCAGTACATTACCACGCTGGACCTTAGCAAGGGGTACTGGCAGGTGCCCCTGGCAAAGGAAGCAAGACCCTACACCGCCTTCAGGACACCCCAGGGCCTCTTTCAATTCACGGTGATGCCCTTCGGCCTGCAGGGGGCGCCTGCAACGTTCCAGCGCCTGATGGACCGGGTGCTGGACGGCACCGGCACCTTTGCGGGTGCTTATCTTGATGACATCATCATCTACAGCAGCAGTTGGGCGGAGCATGTGCAGCACCTGGCCGAGGTGTTGCGCCGCATTCACCAAGCGGGGTTGACCATCCAGCCCAACAAGTGTGCCTTTGTTCAGCAAGAGGTGCGCTACCTGGGGCACATTGTTGGACGCGGAGTCATCAAGCCTCAACAAGACAAGCTCCAGGCAATCCGGGACTGCCCGCGGCCAGAGACCAAGAAGGGGGTCCGCCCTTTCTTGGGGCTCGCAGGGTGGTACCGGAGATTCGTCCCCAACTTTGCCACCAGAGCAGCCCCTCTCACCAATCTCACCAGGAAGTCTGGCTCAGTCCGAGTCAGGTGGGAGGACCAGCATGAAAAGGCCTTCAACGACCTGAAGGAGGCCCTCTGCAGCGGGCCAGTACTGCAGAGTCCAGACTTCAAGCAGCCGATGACCGTCCAGACTGACGCCTCCGGTGTTGGTCTGGGGGCCGTGCTCCTTCAAGGTGAAGGAGATCAGCAGCGACCTGTGGCTTACATAAGCCGCACCACCCGCAAACTTTTTCCAAGAGAGACAAGGTACTCTGCTGTTGAATTGGAGTGCCTTGCTGTGAAATGGGCCCTGGACTTACTATCTCTTGGGTCGACATTTTGTTTTAGAGACTGACCACCGGGCCTTGAAGTGGCTCGGGCAGATGAAAGACACAAATACCCGCATCACCCGTTGGTTTTTGGCCTTGCAGCCATACAGTTTCCAGGTCCGCTATCGGGCGGGCACGCAGAATGCAGTGGCGGATTATCTGTCTCGCCACCCAAGTGGCGAGCCTCCAGAGGAAGGGGGAAATGTGAAAAGGCAGCCCTCCCTTTTCACAAATGCCACAGAACAGCACGCTACAATGTAGCTGGCTAACGTCACACACAACTGCACACACCTCCATACACAAGCGCGCACACGCGAATCTAAAACTTTCACTCGCGGAGCCGGCAACCGCATGTGAGAGCTCTTTGTCACGCCAACACTCCAAAAACTTTCAGTACTTACCTGAGTGACCAGCCAACGCAGCGTTCGGTGAGGTACCCGCCGATATCGCTCCATAATCCCATACCGCTCCAGTTTCCACACATTGCGCATACAAACACAAACGCACACACACTTCCTGGTCCGACAACTTCTCCTCCCCTGGGAAACACGAACTGTGGGTGGGGGAATAATTTATGTCTCATTCAGCCAATCAGAGGCTTTGATTACCTGACGGGGTGAAACTGAGTGTTTGATGCATTTAAAATGCTATTTTTAGGTGTAATGTTGATGTAATGAGAAATGTGTTTTATTGAATGTATGCATACAGTAATGTGGTTAATGTAGATTGCTTAGGCATGTAATTTAACAGTGAAAATGAAGTGGTGCATTGTTTCAGCTGTACCTTTTTTCTTGCATAGTGGTCTCATCCAATCAGTCAGTGATTTAGTCCAGTAGGCATGCAATTTGCCAATTATGTCTGTTTGTATAAAAACCCTACTTTTTCCTCAGTTTGTTGGTTGGAGGCTAGGAGAAAGGTTGGTGCCTGAGACTGTCGTGTTCAAAAGAGTGAAACCTGAGCCAGAGGGCCCACCAATTTCACACAGGGGTAAATGAAAATGCCAACCATCACTGTGACAGATTGTTCATAAAAAACAATACAAGGCCAATCATCATACTGTAAATAATATGAATTTATTTTTTATTTCATGCAGCCTTTGTTGATTTAAAAGAAAGGTTTGTTTACTGAGGCAAAAAGAAAACATATTTTATTTTGTTTTTACTTTACCTTCTTTGATGAATTTTTCTAAATGAGAAAAACTTAATTCAAGAAAAAACAAGGAAAAACTATACTAAACATCCCAAAAAAGCATGGTTAACACAACAAAAACAGTTTTGAAACTGAAAAAAAGCATGTAATTTTTTTTAATTTTTTTTATAAGTACAGACATCTTAACTATTTCTTAAATTCTCTTTAAAAAATTATGATATGATGAGAATTATAGTACATAAATGATAATAGCCTAACCAAGCAACCCTATTTATGCTCCATTTGTCAGACTCACAGTTCGGGCACAAGTAAAAGTAATTGTGTGCTTGATATGCTTAGGACTTGCACATCTAGCACTGCAGATACACAACTTTGAATTTTGAGTGGGTTGACAGATTGAAGACAGTTGCTGTCCCCAAGCTGTCAGCTATGAAAGAAAACCATATGCTAGCTAGGTACACAGATTTTAGCACATGTTAATTTTAAACTGTAAATTAAAGTAGATTAAAGAATATTAACATTTACAAATCAGGAGAGTAGGAAAAAAAGAAAGCACATGAAAAACTTTTTGAAATTTTTTTGCAATAAGTTTAGAAGTTGATCCTTAGGTAGAGGGATCCAACTGAGCATTTGCAGTATCTGTGTAATTAACATTCTCTGGGTTCTACAAAAATCCAGATTAAGTTATGTCTGTCTGATTCTGATATCATTTAGCATGTTCATGTAAAACTTGTGAATAAACACTTTCTTCAGTTTTTAGTTCTCTTTTCTTCTTTTCTTTTTGTTTCTTCATTCCAGAGAAATGCAAGGCAGCATAATTTAGATCCTGTTCATTTTCACTCTGTGAAAAATATTTTCAAGAAAAATTTTTATTGCTGCTTTATGTCAATACAGTCAAATAGTTGCAATAATTATTTAGTGTTATTACTTGCCTTATCCATTGGTTGGCTTGAGTCCCTGTGATTTGGTTGAGGAGGAACTGAAGAGGAATGTTCTGTGTAAACAAAGCAAACATCAAACATCTGATTATAGTAAAACTGAGCTTAGTAAGGTTTTCCATCTGAACATTTGGCAGTATCTTTTTTTTAGTTTTCTAACATATATTCGATATGTTACACTATTTGACAAATTAATAATGTTTTAGCTTTGGAAGGTTTAGTGTAATAAATCAGCCCTACCTTTAAATCGGGCACATGCTGATCTTTGAGATCGACAGCAAATTAAAATGATATTCATGGTTCCAGAAATGGCCAAAGCGATTAAGGTGATCAAGAGAACAATCCTTTCAGGTCTATTATCTAGAAAACAAAGTAAAGGTATCACAAACAAGCAGCATATTTCTTTTATAATATAAATGCCATGATAATTACAATACCTTCATTGCTTGTTACCCTTTTTGGTCCATTTCCAAATATTATCTCTCCACATGTAGCTACAGCACAATAATAGGTGTCTGCTTCAGAGGTGCTGACATCATTAGAGAAGGTGTAACTACATTTTTTCTGATTGTTTGTCTTTCCACAATGTTCCTGTGTATTTCCCACAGTGTAGATGATGTCTGGATAGGATGTATCTGATCTGGCTCTGAACCAGAACACAGTGGGTTCTCCTGAACAAGTTGTGTTCTCAGAGTCCGACAGAATTGAACACTGTAGAGTTTCTTTTTCTGTTGGGTTGGGGGGATCAGAAACCGCTCGCTCCTGAACAACATTGTAGCTTGATGTTCTCTGAGAGTTTCCTATGAAGGAATATCATAAATTCCCATTGAATAGAGGTCATATATGTTCATTTAGGCTATAAAATGTTTTTAGAAAAATTAATAAAAATATACAATTTTTGTCTATTTAATAAATTTGAGGGAGGATATTAAACAACCCTAAGTAACTTTTGACCAAAATGTGTAAATACACAGCACATGGCACATATCAATGCCTATGTGGCTTTACCTTCATCAGAAACTTGCCTATATAATTTGAGAGGGTTGGTTTCATAGCTAAGAGTTATGGCAATCTGAGTTCCCCTTGAACAGGAGAACAAACTAAGTTTAACATTTTCGTTAAGCTTACAACACATAGCTTTGGATGGTAGGATTTAGAGCAGCAGCTCCAAAGTGCTCTTCTATCAGGTTTCAAAACATGTAGAGAGACTGTTTTAATTTTGTGACAGTGCAGTGATGCCACTTGTTTTTTAGGAGCACTAAACCTGGAAGTTTAAGGCCAAGTAACTCTGGTGACGAAAACTTACACAGTGTTGCGTTAAGCTAAAAAATTGGTGATACACTTTTAGATTTTGATTTAAAATAAATTTTATTCATTCAAGTAACTTTCTTTCTAAAAAGTAAATAAAATCTATTTCTCAATAGGAAAGAATAATTTAAAAAGTTATGTTTATATAAAATGTTGCAGTTTCTGTCACGCTTATCCCTGCTGGGGTCGCTAGGGGTGCTGTTTCCTATCTTCAGCTGTCAATGGGGGAGACATTCTTCCTTACTAATAACCTCCCTATTCTTTAGTGCCAAAACAGCAATAAAATAATTCATATTCTCACATTTTATGTGTTTCTAGAGGTATTTTGACGATTCAGGGTTGAACTCCAAATAGCTCAGGTTGGAATGTCCTGAATCTTTATCCAACTTCAAAATGTAATTGATTAAAGTCAGCACTTTGTTGGGTCAATCCATAATATAAGTGTCACTTTCAGAGACAATAAATAATGCTAGTCATATTGAATTATTACTTTTAACATAAATCCCTGAGGGCTATCAATTACCGTTACTGTTTTTTAATTCTAACTAAGTTCATCTTCACAAACTTTATGGTTAGAACCCTCAAAAAATATTAAACATAGAAGAAAATTATTTTGTTTTCCTCAAAAGTATATTTCAGTGGCCGTTTAGTTTCAAACATGCACCTTCAATCAGGCACAAAGTCAAAAGTAAGAAATAGTCAACAAAAAAAATATGCTTTCCAGATTCTCAAAAGTTTGTTTTTAGCCTTATATGTGGAGTATTTTTAATAGAACACTTAATTTTGGAAATATCTGCTAGAAAGATATTACAGATAAACAGCATGACAGTTTATCATAAAAAAAGGTTGAGGTGCATAAAACCATCTTTTATCATTATTTTCAAATGGAAATGCAATTTATTTGTATAGTTGTGTAGGAATAGCAAATCTTATGAAACAGTTAATAATTTGTTTTCTGTTTAATCAGGAAAAAATAATACAAAAAAAGAAATTAATCTGATCAAAAGTGTTGGTACAAACATATACCACCGGTATCAGACCGTGATAAGAAATAATTTCAGCAATCTTAATAACAAAAAAGATCCCCTTCCATTTTAAACCAATACCTGTATTTACCTCTTAATGATAAATAGGTCCCACTCCAAGCAGATTTAGTCCAGCCAATATGAGCGCAGTGATACATCCCCTCATCTTGTTCCACTGTTGACAAAATCATCATAATGCTTTTGTTATCATTATATGTTATTTTGAATCTTGAGGGTGAAAATCCAGGTCCGTAGGTTGAGTTTGTACTTTTACACAACACTGCAATTAGTTCCAGAGTATTTCCAGCACTCTGCTTGTACCAATGAATCCATGTCATGACTTCAAACGTCTCAGTCACAACACATGTCAAAGTGACAGGTTCCCCAAGCTGGACTGTGGTGACAGGAACTAAAGTATCTGCAAAGCATAAAAAAAACAACAGTGAAGATTACTTTAAAAAAGTTTATATATACAACATAAAAAAATATTAAACTGTTTCATTAAATCTACTTACATCCTTGATGAAGAAGAAGCAGTATAAGCCATGGGAGAGTCATGATGACACTGTCTTCATAAGGACACTTATGGCATAAGTAACTGAGAGAGGTGTGGTGATTTAGACTGTCGAATGCATCTGATTGGTTACCTTAAAATGCACAATCAAAGGGGGCTTTCTGTCACATTGAAATGTCTACATTAAAAGATGGTCTGCTGACTGTTGGAAATTTCTTAACCAATATGGAGAAATTATTAAAATCAAGGTTTTTGTACGAGATATGTTTCTAGTAATATAATAGAATAGAAAATCGCTTTTACTGTCCCACAATTGGAAAATTGTGATGTTTTTACCACAATTGTGGGTTATAGAAGAAGTGGCGCACAATGTGCACCTCAAGATAAATCTTATACAATTTATAGCTTTTACTCTACTTTGCCAGAAGCTGGTCAGAATTAACCCTTTATCCAAAAACAAAAGCAAATTAAAACACAATTCCTACACTTTTCAGATTTTCAAATGATTAATTCCTATTAGTCATGACATAGTACAGGCAAATTCCGATAGCCTATTTATGAACAAACTACATATGTTTTCTTTTATTAACACAATTGCCAGAAGTAGTTTCTCTCATGAGGGGGTGGTCGGCTGCTAAACTCAACATCTTGTTGAAATGGCTGATGATAAACAATGCACTAATAGTTTACTGACAAGGCTTTTTTTATGTAGATAAAAAAAAAAAAAACATGACAAGACGAGGATGATAACATGACAATATGCGCATGAGTTTTGATTATCAAAATGCAGACCAGATAAAAACGTTGATGGACGATTTGTTGGACAATCAAATTCAATTATATTTATGTATTGTAGAATCAGACAACAGCTAATGGGGACTTAAAAGAGGAGCAAAAATATCACAATATTTAATCAGCAACTTAAGTCTGCCTCTGCTGATATTCCTGTATAGGTAAGGCTCTGTTAATTTCAGGCTAAAGTTGGGTTGGTTAGCTCATTGTTTTATGTGTTACTGTAGAAAATGCACGGATGTATGGTTGGACGGGAAGAGTAGTGTTTACATTTATGTTCATTTACTTTCTGGGAGTTATATGATCCTCTCTGCTTTGCTCACCACTCTTGTCACATTCTTCCAGTCTGAGGCACTGCAGCCTCCACACCTTACAGTGAGACAGAATGCTCTGTATGGTACTCCCTGTGTTATTCAGAAAATAACCATTAGTGTTGACTGCACAAATCTAGTTTAGGACCATCCCTTAGCTGGTTTTAGTTGTTATGTATAATGGTTATATTTCAAGAAGTGCTTGTTACAAAACCAGTGGACTGGAGCTGAATCAATTTCCACCGCACCCAAAGACTCTCACACTGATTACCCTCTGCTCCTTCCTGACCTCATGAATTCCATCTCCCCTTACCTCTATTGTCCGGGAATTCAACACACTGCTTTGGGCACTCTGACCAAAGCAAACATGGACCGGTTGTGGCCTGAATAAGGCTAGATAATTTTATAAATAATATTTTATTAGTCTGTGTAGGATAGTATTTAGGCCTAACTTACCAAAGTCCCAATCAAGCATTATGATGATCTCTACAGTCATTAGTACTGTATATCAGCTCTGTGCTGCCGTACCGCAAAAGATTCTACCCTCACAAATAGTAACTGACTTCTATTAAATAATAAATAGCAATTTAGGCAATTCAGACACAAAGATTGAGACTTTAAGTTCATATGTGATAATAAATAATATATATATCGATACTATCTTACATTTATGTCAGTAAATTGCTGTAATTTATACATGTTGTACCTTTAGGTTCTGTCAGGTTGTTTTTCATTTGCGCTGTAATTTCGTCCGTCAATGCTTTTGGGTCCATCTTCATTTGGTTTTGCAGAGCTTGAATTGGCTTGCTTTTTTTTTTTTTCTCGGTGTCCTGTCTGGCGATGTGGCAATAAGAATAATTGTTTAACAGATTTTGCTTACACAAGTGGAGCATTACAGCTACAGCCATAGTGTTCCGCTTGATTTTTGCATATAAATAGCTTTATTATGATTCATGCAGGGAGTATTACAGATTTTATGGGCATTGCAATGTAAGTAGACTAGTAAAGGAAAAACAGAAAAGAGAGAAAGAGAAGTAAAAAGAACAGCACAACCAACGGATATAGTATAAGAGATACAATAAAATAACACTGTGATACTATTGCTGAAGTATAAGTAGTATTATTTAATCTAACATGTATTCTGTGGTAGCTGAAGATAAGTTTATGGGTTTTCTGTATGGAAGTGAATCTCTAAGTACCTGAAGCCAAGCACCTGTAGTTGTTTGTGAGAGTGCACTTGTGCATGTAAAGTTTATCCAAATAAAAAATGTCCAATAGTGGTGGTGAAGAGCAAAAGAAGCGCCCCCCCAGAGCACCAAGGCGGGTGCTGGCTCCGCTGGCAGCCAAATAAAATAGAGAACGATAATGCTTAATGCACTGTTACGTTTTATTCAATAGAGGGAGGTAAAATTCCCTGTAATAATCGATGGTCATGATTGTCTGCCATCCCACTGCCTCTTTGCTGACCTGTAGACTTTTAAACATTATTATTATAATACCATTTTTATGGTCCACATATGTTTACATTTGCACAGCAATTTTTCATCCTCTGACATTGTACCATTGTTTCTTTTGTGGTAACAATGACTGCATCTGTTTTTGCATGTCAGTTTACACCTCACTTTTAGAAGTACTAAGACAAAGGTTGCATAAACTGTTGCTGCAGTTGAGTTTTTCACGATTTGGAAAATTGCTTTGCACATGGTAAAGGGTTACATGTGCTTATCCTTCACCCATATATTTGTGCAGTTTGCTCTTTAGGACATTATCTGCATATTAAAAAGGGCCTACAAACAAAAACAGACAAAAAGGTTTGCCAATGTTGTTGCTGCTGAATTACTTTGCACCTTCTTTGAAGATTTGCTCATTGAGTAAAACAGATTGCACTAGTTTTAAGACCACAAAACCTTCTGAAAATCAAGCCCAACATGTGTTTGTTCCAGTAGTTTAACCAAACTGAGTAAGACTAAGCTTTGATGTTTGTGCTTCCTTTCAGTGATTATAAGACCGACTTAGTGTTACGGAAAATGTGAGAAGTAAAGGATAATTTTACAAGCTTTTATTTAATGGCCAATTGACTTATTTCCAGACAGTGAAATAAAATTAGATAAAAAGTTTAAATAAAAATTTAATGATTCATAAACATAAACACTGAATTTACCTTCTGTAATACCTTACAAACTCATCAAGCAGATATCTTTCCATCCTACAAGCTTACCGATCCTCAGTATTAGCAATTCCTCACTGGTTCTAAAGGTAAAGTCCCTCCAGAACTGACGGTTCTTCTTGACAGCTGGTTAAAAGATCTTCCAGGGCAACTTTTAAGATTCGTCATAGTGGGTGTAGTATCTGTCCCCTAGCCAGCCACATAAACAGCAGACACCCAATACATAAAGAGACTATGATTAACAACAACGGTGTCTTATTTTAATTTTTTCCCCTCTGGGTAATCAAAGCCACAAATTTAAAATTCCTGTGTATAATATTAGACATCATAAAAAATTAAAGCCCTTTATTCTGTACAAGTCACCTCTGTAAAGAGCTGTTGAACCAGAGCTGAAAATGCTAAAAATAACAATGTTTTTTGCTTCACAATAATAGTTTAGGAATACATAAAGACAGTAAAACACTAAAAGTTGGTATCATTCCAGCATTTCATTAACTGTTGTAGCCTAGCAACTCATACAGATGTTCATAATGATGGTAAGCCTTGAAGGAGCCTCCATTTTGGTCCTGCCAACCCTCCCCTCCAGCACAGAAGCAGTACGAGCTTAGTGACCTTGTGGCTAAAGGTACTCTTCAGTGACTCTGAAAACATCTCTTGGTGAAAAATTCTGCCGCTATAAATGATAGCATAATAAGTTTTTTTTAAGTTTTTGGAGAGAAATTCTAATTTTCAGTGTTGTAAATTTCAATGTTTGAATATTCAATATTTAAAATTTTGACGTTTACGTTTTCAATGTATGAATTTAAAATGTTGGGAATGTCAGTATTCTCATTTTCAATGTTTTTATCATTTCAGTGCCCCATACAGGGCAGGCTGGCTGCAGCTGTTTACAGCACTGGCCCCAATATTGCCTGGTGCTTTTACTTATTAATTTCCCTTTATTCTCATCTTGTCTCTGTATGTCTCTGTAGTCCTTTATCCTTCCTCTTTCCTCTAAGATCAGCCCTGGCTGCGTTCAGCTTCGGAGGTCCACTGGTTGCCATGGTCCTCTCAACATAAGAACAGTTTTTAAAAGCATGCACTAAAGCAGTATATGTTCTGCTAAAATTGATTCTAAAGCATAGAACAACAGCAATAGGAAGAACTGTTAACTTAATACTCTGAGCTGTTTGAGCACTCCACTGGAAGCTGCTGCTCGCACGGTGCATGCAGGATCAGCTGTCAGTCTCGAGAATGGGCAAGTCTGCTTTGATGCCTACTCGGTAAAGAGGGAAGGGTCCGTTCTCAGTCTTGTGTTCTTGTGAATTAGAACAGCACTTAGGCTGAGGCTGATGATGTTTCATGAGCACATGAGAACGCACAAGTACACATATTGAGAAACGGCCAAAATCCCCTGAGTGACATGAAATATGCAATTAGGCAATGGCATCATCTAGCGCCTTGACTAACTAAGGCTTAGTCTTTTTAATTAAGGAGTTGGCAACACTCTCTGTGTTGTAACTTTTTGTGTTGTGTGGGGGTCTGTTGGTTGAATAAAACCTTCTGTTGCTGACTGAATGAAAGCAGTGACATTTAGTGTGGTATTGCAACTTGCTGATGGTGGTCATTTTATCAGTGCGGCTCTCCATATTTTGTGGGTCACTTGTATGTCAAGCGGACTTGTTATTGTGGTAACTTCTTGTGGTGAAGGACCACTTGACGTGTGACCCCTTTTTTTGTGGTTTTAACTGTTTCTGTTTGGTTTAGATTGTAGTTGCTACTTGCGGTATGTGTGGTAACTATGTAA